TGTCGGAGTCCGAGTCTGCTGGGGCTTTGAGCTTCTTCCGCGACGCTTTCGACTTCTTCTTCCTCAAGGACTTTTGTGGTAGCGGAGCGGTGGTTGGTGACTGTTAAATGTCTACTAAAATACTACAAAGTACTATCGGGATGTAGAAGAGGAACCTGTTTTGGGCAACGCGGAAGGCAACATGCACAGGAGAAAGCCAACGCTCTTGAACGAGGCCGCTGACAATCGCAGACCCAAGAGGAATTTGAGGGTGTAAAGCACGTCAGGTACTGTGGTGTGGTTGGTGGTTCAACTCATGCAATTTGCATGGCTAAATCGGGAGCTTTATGTACTTGCAATGCAAGTACATAAAGCTCCCGATTAAGGGTTGTTGCGACCCTGTTCTGCTTAAGATACAGCATAAAAGCTGCCGCCGCTTTCAATGAATATTCGCGTTATAGCAGGATACCGTTGTTCTGTCTAACTCTCGTCGTAAGCCACGTATTGCGTCTCGACCCTTCTGCATTTTGTGCCATCGCCCTCAGAACCCAAAGTACCGAACCTTCCAAGATTACGTGAGCAACGGCGCATACTTTAATTCTGAGCGTGCGAAGACAGACTCACGTGTCACTTGCGGTCTAGGGATTCACCACTTGTGCAGCAACGATATCGGACGGTTTCTTGGTTCGGTATGTGATTCTTTAAATGTCAAATTCCGTGGAATTAACACGCATTGCCTGTATCCAAGACCGGTCATCAAGAGAACACCTCGTGTGGGGAACTAGGAGTGACCATCGTACGGACAGGAAACGCGTGAGGTTGAGGTGTGGTGAGGGGCAGGTGGAGCTACCGAGTGACGTGAGAACGAACGAGGAACGAGGAACGAGAACGAGAAGTACAGGTTGTTGTTCGGCAACTTCGTGTACGTCAATTGACTATTAATAACTAAGACAAGGTCCTGCTGCTTTGTAGTGACCTGTAGTGCTTTGATTTGCCGTCGAACGGGTGCGGAACTGGCAAACCACGTAGCAAGCACTTCGCTACACGATCCGCCGGCGAGCAGGCGTGAAGAAGACTCGTGATATAATGCATCTCTGTTCTTACAGAATATAGAGCCCGCACTGTCAATATTGACGGCTTGTATAGAGCGTTGGACATTTCCTATTGTCAGGGAATCGTCTAAAAAAGTGGCTGCAACTCGAAAGGTTCACCAGGAAGCAGCTAAGAATGCGGGACCCTGACGTTGAACACGCAGTTACTGCTGGATTGAACAAGGCAGATGGGACCCCGTCTTGGCTGTGCAGATTGAAGAAAGGTTCAAGTGCAACTTCAACACGACATTGCATGTGAACGATCAGGCATCTAAAGTATCTGATAGAACAGGGCAAGCTAGTTACTGTGTAGAGTAGCTAGTGAAGCACTTAAAGTCAATCAGATCTCAATTTACCTGTTAACCAGCAACCTAGTTGACCGAGTACTACGAAGGCATCTTGCCTGAGTCCGTCAACAACTCATCCTCTGCTCAAGTGCTACCATAGCATACTGTGACGACACTATTGTGACATCTATGCTTTTTTGCATGAAAAATATAACAGATATGGATGAGTTTTCGCGGCCCCAACACAACCAATCAGTCGAAGTCGTTCACACCCATCGAGTATCGCAAACGTGTTGGCACTGGGCGCGATCTGAAGATCGAGTAGTCTAGCACGAGACTACTAATGGACTCTCCAGCATCTGTAGGCGCATCTTTTTACTTTTTTAGATTTTTTTTTTTAAATACTGGAACCAGCTTACGGACACCGCGATCTAGCTTTTTCTCATTTGACATCGTGGACTTGCACTATAACATGCAGAACTACCTGCTCAATCTAAATATATAGTTACCCAGATTTCAGAGCTTCTTCGTGCAAGATACGGCTTTGTAAACGAGAGCAGATTGCATTCGATTATATTAGCATGTAGTGAAGGCATGACCCCCTACCCGTTTATTAACTTGACTTCTGGTTCCTTTATTAAGCTAATTCGGGAAATGGTCAAAATACACACTTATGCAGGCCTGGTAATGGCCGACACATTATCAATTCGAGTAGATTTTCCATTACACAGACACCAAATTATCGAATTTCTATCATTAAATTATAGCGTTCTAATTATCCCACTCCTGCACTCGCACGAAGAGGCTGCGTGGGTTTATGAAGAACCGTAC